GGAATTCCAATAAAATTGATTCATGTTTGTGGCTGTAATGTGACAAAATATGGGAAAGTTCAAAAGGGCCGAATACTTTTGCAAGCCACTGTATATAGAAATCCTCTTACTGTTCTGCTGATGGTCAGCTAGCTCCTCCTGCTTCATTCTCCTCAGGAAGTCTAGTGTGATCTTCACAATTGCCTCTCTGCTGCTTCTCTTTGGTCCATGATCTCCCCACTGGCTCTCTAAGGATTCTGGGTGATCTGGACTAAGAACCTTTTGGATCTTCTTCAGCTTTTTCTTCAGAAAAGTGATGATGTTGTCCTCCAGCAGCTGGGACAGAATACTTTATGAATGACCCAATCAGACTGAAATCATGGAGCCAAACATCAGATCCATGTTGGACACACTGACGATCCACTGGTCTACAAAGAGCAGCATGGAGATGACTGTGAACAGAATAGATGTAAAAGTAGTTGTTGCACATGTGCAGACCATAAATATGGAGTCCAGCTGTGTTTGATGCTGCTGGACAGACTGACCACTGAGAATGTCCCCTTTTTATATCCTACTTTTCTGTTTGAGCTGATGCTTCATCTTTCGGTCACAGGTATATGATAGAGCCACAATTGGAAGATCAGTAGACCCCCTCAAATAATTGGCAGCACATCAGACACTTCCAACAAATCCAACAGTGTGGAAACTGGCAGATATCTGTTTATTCCTGCATCACCAGTGCCAGGTGAAATTGGATTTTCTAAAGCTGCTGGACTGCTGAGCCAGAGGAGGAGTCCACTGAGGCTGCCACAGGAGAGACAAAATGATTTTGGATGAAAAACCTGTGAAAAAAATCAATCTTGCACCTGCTTCTGTCAATAATCATTCCTAATGTACCACATTATTCCCCAAATGACTGATTAATCAAAGTTGATCAAAGACTCGAAGCTTTGAATCTTTTTGGGTGTAAATAGAAGTAAAGCCTCCAAGCTTAATGAGGCTTCACCTGCCCACCACAACATGTTTCTTCACATTTCACAAGCCTCCCCTCAATAAGGCTCCACAGTAACTTCCATTTTCATCCAAGCTGATGTTCAGTGTGAAACAGCTGGATTAAAGCAGACCAGGATTCACTGTTTCTATCACATTAACTCTCAGAGGCACTGAAAGGAGCTTTAAACCACAGGGCTTTTCTCTGCCAGCTCTACAGTGTGGGGGCTGAGTCCAGCTAATATGTGTGTGGGCGGGGCATCTCCACACCTCTGAAAAAGGTTTAACTTTAAATCTATGTGTGTGCAATTATTAGATTAATAGTAGATTTTTTTTCAGTTTTAGAGCCAAAGATCAGTAAATACATTCCTCAATGAGACAACACATGCTTGAGAACAGCACACGTGATCATGACATGACACATGATTAAAAAGCAGCATCCAACCATTATAATGTGGCTTCTTTTATTCCAAACGAGCACACATGCACTTATAAAAGAAAACAGCCAATGTTATTGTTATCATTTTTATTTATATAGCACATTTAATTACAACAGCAACACTGAACAAAGTGTTGTACGGAAATACAAAATAACTCATACCAAATCATTTATAATAATAGTACCAAATACCAAATAACTCTCATAATCTATTAAAAAGTCAGTGAATGCAAATGTTTTTTTGTAGATGAAATTTGAAAATATTGACAGTAGAAGCCCGATGAGTAAGGGGTTGAAATCCTTGATCACCTCTGTAAACCAGCCTAGACCCTGCTATGGCTAAAAGCAAGGAATCATTATCATTTGATCTAAGAGATCTAGAGGGTGGATAAGGCTGCAAGAGGTCAAATACTGACCCAAAAGCCTGTCCATTCAGGGCTGTTTAAGTCAATAATAAAATTTTGAAATCAATTCGGATGTGAAAAAAGGAAGGCAGTAAAGAGAGGCAAGCACCAGGGAACTAAGTTGACATCTTTATTTCGTGTCAGAAAACGAGTTGCAGCACTTTGGACCAACTGCCTTTGGACCAACTGCAGCCTTGCAAGGTAGGTCTGACTACCTCCAACATATACGGAGTTACAATAGTCCAGCTGGGATGTAATGGAAGCATGTATCACCTGTTCAAAGTTTTTAGAATATAAAAATGATTTCACCTTGGATAAAAGCCTCAGTTTGAAAAAGCATCTGAGCTAATCTGTTTTTCAAAGGTGAAATTGCTGTCAAATATAGCCCACAAATCTTTGCCATTCGACTTAATAAAAGGCTCAAGACTGTGTAGATTAAAATGAGATGTGCTGGGATTACCACTTGGTTCAAACACCATCACTTCGGTTTTCTTCTCATAAACATTAAGGAAGTTAGAGGCCATCCAGACTTTAACTTCATCAACAGACTAAAGGAAAGGTAAAAGTGGAGCAGAACAGCTTCTCTTCAGTTGAAGAGAAATCTGAATGTCATCGGTGTATGAATGGAAACAAGCATGTAAACACAGAATAAAATTGGCCCCAATATAGATCCCTGAGGAACACCGCAAGTACAGGGAGTTAAGGAAGACACAAAATCTCCAAAACCCACTGTTTGACAACTATAACATGACCTGAATTATTATTATTTTTAGCTCTAGACTGTGAAGACCAATAAAGGTTCTCCATTCACTTAAACAGTCAGATCCAAAGTGTGATGAAAAAAACATGATCTTTTTGGAAGCATTACTGTCGTATATAATACCTGTAAAAGGTTTGGACACACCTTTTTTTATTTAATGTTGTTTTCTTTATTTCCACGATGTTTACATTGAAGATTCTTACTGAAGGCATCAAAACTACAAATAAACACATATGGACACGTATGTACTAAAGACAGCACAGAAGCATGTTGGTTAGCATAGTTCCACTATCAGGCCAGGGACTTTCTGTGTGGTTTCTATGTTCTCTCCGGGTATTCCTGCTTCCTCCCACATTTCCAACAGTCAAAAAGTTAGTGGGGTTAGGTTAATTAGTAATTGTATATTTTCACATGAATAAGAATGGTTGTCTGTCTATGTGTCAGACTGTCAACCTGTCCAGGGTGTACCCTGCCCCTCACCCTAAGACAGCTGGGATAGGCTCCAGATCTTCTGACTAGGATAAGCAGGAGAGGATGGATGGACAAAATAGTGTGAAATAACTTAAAAAATGTTTTTTATTTTATATTCTTGAAAATAGCTGCCTTTTGCTTTGATTACTGCTTTGCACTAGTAAAATAATTATAAAAAATAAATGTCAGGGGCTGGGTCTGTGACCCTGCGTTTTCATTTGTTTTCTGATCTTCTTTGTTATATTTGGAACATAATGTTAAGTTCTAGGTTCATTATTTAGTTGCCTCAAGTTTAATCTATTTGTGTTTCACTTACATCTTCTGGTTAGTCTCATGTATTTCTTGTCTTTGATTTCAGGTTGTCAGGTGTGTATTATCATGTCTTCATCTCATGTTTCCTGTTTTATTTTGAAGGTTTGTGTCCTATGTCAGAGCAGTTGGCGTCGCTTACTTTGTCTCGTTATGTCAGATTAGTGTCAGCTGTTTCCCCATGTGTATCCACTTCCCCTAACCACCCTTGTGTGTATTTAGTCTGTGTGTTTCTGTTCGTTCATTGTCAGGTTGTCTGTTGTTCTTGTCATGTTTCCATGCTTCTGTGTCTCCAGGGTTTTCCAAGTACAGGTTTTTGCCACGTTCAAGGTTTTGTTCTTCATCTTTTGTGTTTCACATTTATTTTCTCCCAGTTCGGTTCTAGTTAGTTTCTTCCTAGTGTATATGCTTTTTGTTCTTGTACCTTTCTTATCAGTCATATTAAACGGCTTGCATTTTGTTATATTCAAGTTTTCTTCTCGTTCCTTCGTGTCTGCATTTCAGATCCGATCCTCAAATTTATACAGTCAGCTTCGCAGCCAGACTGTGACAATAAATCCCCAACGGTATCACCAGCAAAGCACCATCATACCTCCTCCATGCTTCATGGTGGGAACCATGCATGTAGAAACCATCCGTTCTCCTTTTCTGCATCACACAAAGACACGTCAGGTGGAACCAAAGATTTCATCAGACTGAAGCACAGATTTCCACTGGTCTAATGTCCATTTTTTGTGTTTCTTGGCGCAAACAAATCTCTTCTGCATTTTGCTTTTCCTTAGTTGTGGTTTTGTAGCAGCTATTTGACCAGAAAGGCCTGATTCACACACACACTCCTATGAACGGTTGATGTAAAGATGTGTCTGCTACTGGAACTCTGTGTGGCATTTATCTGGGCTCTAATCTGAGGTGCTGTTAACCTGCAATTTCTGAGGCTGATGACTTGGATGAATTTATCCTCAGCCGCAGAGGTGACTCTTGGTCTTCCTTTTCTGGGGTGGTCTTTACGTGAGACAGTTTCGTCATAGCTCTCGATGGTATTTTTTTACAAAGTCTACTTTCAAGGAGAATGTGAAACAGGCAGAAATGTTCAGCTCTGACTCCCTCCTGTTCTCTAGTTTCTACTTTCAATAGAGAAAGTGGAAATGTTTATATAACTTGATTCTAATCTGCCGCTGAGTCTCTTTCACACTGCTGGAAACACAAAGCACAGACCACAAATACCTGTTCAACCAATTACATTTATTTCACTTTGATCTGCCACAAACAGCAGCGATTTCCACGTCCCCTTTATCAGGCTGTGGGACAGTAAGTTTTAATGTCTCAATGGAGTTTAAAGTTTCACAGCTCCAATGTGCAGCCGTCACCTTAGAAATAAACAGCAGCAGTGAGAGCGCACTGGGCCCTTTACTACGAAGACACAGTTTGCTGTCTTTAACAGTCTCAATGTTTTTCAGACATTAAATGTTGCTTTATAAACTATTGAGCCAATACATTCATCTTATATGGCTGAAGCATTTTCAACTTATTAGTTTGCAAAAATGATTGCTAAAGTTTACAAGGAATCATTTAACAGTTTAAAACATAAACTGATTGAATTTATGACTCTGAAAATGAGTTTGAGCAAAAGAGACAGACATGTACAGACTGAATTATCTCTTCAAGAGTCAGAGTGTTCTCTAACAGGAGTTCACTCTTTACACTCAACTTAGCACAGACTCACTGAGGAACTAGAACAGATCGAAAATCCAGGATAAAGCATTTCAGTGATTGTGGTTTTGAAGGTGTGGAGGTGGATCAGAGTGTCAGAGGAGACTCTGTAGAAGGACAGAGTGCCAGCAGGACAGTCCACATACACTGCTACTCTGTTAGAGACAGAAGAGGAGGAGGAGGAGGGGATGGATGTTTCTCTCTTATCGTGACAGACAGAATGAGGACCATCATTAGAGCAGCGTAGTCTCCAGGATTGATCATTCTGTCCAAACCTACAGTCATAAGTGTCTCCTTTTCCCTTGATTCCTTTGTAACTCACTGATATATCAACTCTTCCTCTCCACTTGACCTCCCAGTAACAGCGACCAGTCAGACCATTTCTACACAGCAGCTGAGGATGAACATCAAATCTTTCTGGATGATCAGGATATGACTGAACCTCCTCCACATATGTCACCTTCCTGTTGTGGTCAGACAGTTTGAGGTTCATGTGTACTGTGTTTGTGTCGATTGTGAGTTGACAGGAATCTGATGAGAGAACAAACACAATCCAGCTGCAGTTATTGATCCATCATTTGTTCATTGATTGACACTTTGATGATGACTCCTGACATCAGAGATGTGAATGAGTGATGTGACAGTTTGAAGATGGTTGAATGTGTGCTGCGTTATTTTCATGAACCACATTAAAAACACACTTACACTTCCTCAGACCTGGTGTCAACCATCGGACTCCAGCAGGCTCCACCCTGAAAGGAGGAGGGCGTCAGACAAGCACAGTCTCTTTCAGCATGCACACATGGACATTACATGGCTCGCATCCACATACTGTTAGACACTGATAAAGGAACTAGAGATGGACCGATCCGATATCACGTATCGGTATCGGTCCAATACTGACGTAAATTACTGGATCGGTTATAAATAAATATAAATAAATAAAAAATGTAATCCGATCCATTAAATATCATGAAAACACCTCACAAAACTTGCAACACAGCGTAACTTGGCTCATAACCGTAGCACGTCGGAGCAGTATGCGTCACGTGATAGAGCGGCTGCATGTATTTGGAGCTTCGCTACCAAACCAGTATTTCATCTCCGAGAAAGTTATCCCAGAGAGAAGTAAAGCAAGTGTGTAAGTTCATCTCTGAATGTTTGTAAAGCATTCCCACGTTAAGCTTAACAACCGATATATGGAGCGACTGCCCTCTCTTCCTCCTGCTGCTACTTCAATCGTGAAACTGCTTAATGATCAGCTGATCGGCTTTTCTGTCGCGAGTCCGTCTCTCTTCTTTGTTTTTGGTCCACTTTGCACCAGAAAGAGGAAACCAGCGGCTGAACAACAGCAGCACGTTTAAGCTTGATAAGCTGTTGTTAGAATTTATTTAATATTACTTTCTACACCAGGATCTTTTTCTACGTAGCTGACGCTGGTAACTGTGCAGGGGCGGATCTAGCAAAGTTTAGCCAGGGGGGCCGATAGGGCATTAACAGGGAAAAGGGGGCACAAAGACATACTTTTCTTTCTTATTCTCATTTAAAATGTCTAGCTTTTAATAAATAATTATCTGAATCTTACACCCAAAGTTTTAATCTGATGTAAAATGTATAGAAGTCCATTACTGTATATAGTAACTGTTAAGTCTAATATACCCTAGTAAGCTGTAGTACTTTTTCCTTTGGGAAAGTACCATCTGTGAATTCTGCAATTCTGTTGAAGAAAGATGTTGAATCTATTTAATTATTGTGGAAAAATAATTTATTTCTGTGCATTTTTTTTCACATTGCATCAAAGTTGATTACGTCGATTAAGAATCATGAGGTGGGGGGGTGGTTCCCTATTTTTTCTTTTGCTGGGAGTTTGCAACCCCATTAGTTATGTTGCTTAATATTTCTGCTAAGTACTCTTTAAAATACCAGAATATGGAGGATGGTGCAGGTTTAAGTTTATTAGATTGATCAGTGTTGCTGAACTATGAAATATTTTGTGCACAGTGCATTTTTTTACATACAGGTTTAATAGAATAGCTTTATTGTTGTTGTTTATTTAAACTTAAGTATGAACTTATACAAAATGCAGCAAGATATAAAAAAAACAGTATTTATTAAAAAACGCACTATATCGGATTCATATCGGTATCGGCAGATATCCAAATTCATGATATAGGTATCGGTATCATAACAAAGTGGTATCGTGCCATCTCTAAAAGGAACAGTCCAACATTTTCTCTACATAGAACCCCAAAACAATGTGTGAGACAGTAAAATGTTCGCCTATCAATTTTTGCTCCCATTGAAAAGCTTCTCATTTTTGTACTTGGATTTTAATATTTTCAAATGTAGTTTCAATTCAAAATATTTTAAGAAGTATGATACATTTCTAGGCATTTATAGTTCACATAAGTATGAACCAAATCTGAAACAATAATTTATTATGAAATTTAATGATTTGTTGTATACTAAAGTAATGGAATTCATCTTCAAAGAAAAATCCATGTTACTCAAGTGTGTTGAACAAGTTTGTTCAATAATAGTTTTATTTAATCACGTTTTTACAGTTCAGGAGATTAGATCATATTTGAGATATTTGAGGGTGGGTTACATGTGAGCTCATCTGTTTGAACATGAATAATATTACAAAAATTCAAAAAATTTCAGCTGTTCTTAAATTTGTGGTCAGAAGCTTACATGCATTTATTATAAGCATGAATTTCGTGGTAATTTGGAGCTTTCGAAGGTTACTTGAAAGGTTATCCCCACTGTCAGCGTCAACCCACAAATTTTAGCCTGAGTCTCACCAGGCTAAGACAGCTCAAATAAAAAATAAGGCAGTGACATCATTTTAGAGAAACAGGGCCTCATTTATCTTTGGTTATGCAATATGCTGAAGAACAATCCCTACATAGCAAGCAGGTCTGGCCCGGATCTGGTATCAAGCCGGCACTGCTGACTGACTTCTGGCACGGTAAGTGGTATGTCATCCAGATATGGGCCAGGCCTGGCATAGATGGCACTGTCTATGTGATGGCATATGTTTTGGGTTATGTTGCCCAGGCTCATAGAAAAGATGTCTGGCCAGATGTGGCATTAAGCTGTCACTTCTGACTGACTGACTGACTAGTGTCATGGCAGACTGTATGGCAGCCAGATGTGGGCCAGATCTGTTTATGCGATGGCATGCCATATCTGTCCCGATTGTGGTTTTGGTTGATGTGGCACTCAGTTCAAAGAAAGTGTTTGATTGCATGAATGTATAGAGCATTTTGAGTAATCCGGGAAAGTAGAGGAGCGCTATATAAGAATCAGTCCATTCACTGTCTGAACAGAGTTTCCTTTGCCAGAGTTAATCCACACATGGGCCAGCACAGGACCACCAGTGTGTCTGCAACTGGCCTTGTGCTGGCTCATGTGTGGGCCACCTCTGGAAAACCAGATCTGGGCCACCAAAGGGCAGTCATTCTTTGCGGTGTGTGGGCCATACCAATTTTGCTATGTGGGATATGTTTGTCAGCCACAGGGCCACCATGACAATACATTGTGATTTTTAGTTAAGTTGGAGTTGAGACTGGAGAGTGTCAGAGTGCAGCTGGAAAGCTGCATGCTTGGGTGCCAAGCCAGAAAACAATGAAGAGGCTGCAAGTAGTGTGTGTCATGGCAATCAAAGTGGAAAATAAACATGGACAGTGTTTCCACTTGATGACGTGGCTGCTGCATATTACATGGTGGCAATGAACAATAATCAGGCTGTGGTGCAGCAGAAGCACCTGGCAAAACTGCAGGCGCATGTGATTGGCAGTAGCAGAAGTGGCTACAGCATCACCATCCCCCATCCACTGTCGGTGTCGCTGCACAGGATAGGGGAGGGAGATGACTCCCAGGTCTTCCTGGAGACCTTTAAGGCCACTGCTGAGGTGTGTCAGCGGCAGAGTGGGCACCACAACTGTTGCCACTGCTGTCAGGGAAGCCCCAGATGGTGGCCCTGAATCTGCCACCGTGTCTGCTACTGAGCTCTAAGTAAGATCTTCTATAAGTAAGATCTGCATTATGCAGCGGTGAGGTGGCAAGAGCCCGGGCAGTCAGAGAATGAGGCCCGCATGAATGTGTCTTTAGTACATTTTTATGCAGAGATTAATTTGATATGAATCAGGGTGAGACAGAGAAAAATAATTTAGCAGTGCATTGTTAAAGATAAAGCAATCTATCCAAATGGTGAAAAAAATATGAGCAAAAGACATTTATTATTGTTCCTGGAAAAGTTCTCCTCGGAAATTGCTACATATTTATCTCTTCATTGTTCAACTAGACTACAGTTTATGCAGTGAACAAAGAAAAACTGTTCCTACATGTGTGATTGTTCATGTTACATCTGCATGAAACAAACAGAAAGTGAATGAAGAATGTAGGAAATCCCAAAAAGTTGATTCTGTACATCTGAACGTAGTGTTGTTGGTGGGAGAAAATGTTTGTCACTCATTCAAGTAACTTCTTCAGTAACTGCAGGTTTCCCCAAACTTATAAACAGTACATTTGCACAATATCTGAAACTAGCACCATTGAATGAACAATGGGCTATAAGGTCAGTTCCATTATCATTATTATGCAAATTATCATGACTATTGATCAACAACCATTGATCAGTAATCAATGGCTATGAGTACCATTCCCAGAGAGTTGGGGAATGGCTGCAATCACAGCTTTCTAAGATGGTGAAAGATGTACTCTTAGGTCCCCTCCTCAATTCAGAGAAGGGCTTTCCCTTTGCACTTGAAATGTATGCAGCTCTTCCTTCTCAAACAGACATTCTCTCCATACCTAAGAGTGTCCAGTCTCCAGCGTGGATCCTTAAGTCCAGCCAACAGCAGCTTCATTCCTGAGGCTCCTGGATGATTGTAGCTCAGGTCCAACTCTCTCAGATGGGAAGGGTTGGAGCTCAGAGCTGAGGCCAGAGAAGTACAGCCTTCCTCTGTGATCAGACAGCCTGACAAACTGCAGACACACAAAACAACAACCATCTGTAACCAATGACTTTCTGTTTGTTAGAAACAATAACATCTAACCATCTGTTTGATTTTATTTAACTGTACTTACAACTAAAAAGAAAAAAGAATTAGGCAGTGCAAGTTAACTTACTGTACAATATAACTTGCTATGAAATATAAGCAAGAAAGCCCCATCAATAAGACCATCAGTGTGAGGAGCACTTTGTAGCATTGGGGATCAAGACTAGCCATTTAACATGGCTGTTTGGGTGGGAGGTGGGCACAGGGGGATGTGCACGAAGAGAAAAGAACAAAAGACAAACTGTGGACAGAGAGGACAAAAGTTAAGGATATGCATATAAAAAGCATTACGAGTGAAAACAGAAAAAATGCTCAGAGTATCATAGCAAATCTATGAATAGCCCGAGCCTATAAGGAGAATAATGGATAAGCTAGCTGCTTCTCATAATACAAAATATAAATGAATCAGTCTTTAATTTCTGAGATCTGTTTGACTTCAGCACTCAACGTCCCACCATAACCCATGGAGAAAATTAGGCACCTGAACATGAAGCGGATGAAGGTGGAATATTGTGAGGATTGATAAAGATGATGATGAAGATGTGAATCCAGGAGGAGTGGGTGGATGGTAGCATCACCATGCAGGATCAGTGTGAGAATATATCATCATCCACAAAGGAGCACCCTCCATGGAGAAGGAGACTGTAGACTAAGACTAATAACAGACGTGGAAAACACCAGCTACTGGTAGACCGTGCAGTCAAACGAGACTGCAAGACCAGGCTGACCAAACTGTGAACTACATGATTTGATTACAAGAAGGCCTATGACTCAATGCTTCATACCTGGATCCTATAATGCCTAGACCTATACAAGACCAACAGGACCTAAGAGCCTTCATCATGAACTCAATGGGAATGTGGCAGACAACAATCCGTCCCTGCTGCTGTTCTACATAGGCCTGAACCCCCTCAGTAAGATCATTGACAAGACTGGCTACGGATACTGACTGCAGAATGGAGCAGTTGTCTGCCAAGAGTGGATGAGACATCAATTCACTGATCCATATTAAAAAGGATATACAGAAATGACATTGGAATGTCGTTCAGACTGGAGAAATGTAGTCCGATGATAACAAAGAGACGTAAGGTAGTCAGAACTGAGGGGATTTAACTACCAGAAGGCAAAATTGCAGATAAAGAGGACAGTTGCAAGTACCTGGGGATCCCACAGGCAAATGGGAACTATGAAGAGGCTGCTACCAACAAGTACCTGCAGAGAGTAAGGCAAGTCCTGAGGAGTCAGGTGAACGTTAAGAACAATATACGGGCTATCAACACCTACGCATGATCAGGTAGCCTGCTAGGATAATAAGGTAGCCAAAGGAAACAATAGAAACAACTGCATGCATGGAGGATTGCACCTCAAATCCACACCCTGAGGCTGTACGCTAAGCAGAAGGACAGAGGTTGGGGATTGGTGAGTGTCAGTATTACCATCCAGGATGAGACAATGACCATTCACGAATACATCAGGAAGATTATCCCAGCTGAATGCTCAGTGAATACCTCGGGCATCAGAAACTCAAGAAAGAGGAGGAAGAGGAAGAACCATCATGGAACTACAGGCGCCTGTATGATATGGTATTTACCATGGGCAGATAGAGGAACTGACAGACATCCAGAAATCCTAACAGTGGCTGGATAAAGCTGGACTGAAAGACAGCACAGAGGCACTAATCATGGCAGCACAGGAACAAGCTCTGAGTACAAGATCCATAGAGGCTGGGGTCTGTCACACTAGGCAAGATCCCAGGTGCAGGCTGTGTAAAGATGCCCCTGAGACAAGGGTCCGAGATTCTAGCAGGCCAGTAGTAATCGGAGCACTAGGAAGTGGAGATACCAGCAACAAAATTGGAGATATCTGTCGAGAAGAACACAGTCCTAGGAACAGCTAAGATACTGTGTAGAACCCGCAAGCTCCCAGGCCTCTGGTAGAGGACTGGGCTTGAAGGATAGACGGCCTGCAGGAGCAAGAGGGGATTTTTAAAAATATATATATAGTTGCAGTGCCCTCCTGTATTTTGTGGGAGTTCTGTTCTCCCTGACCCAGTGTTTCCCATAGGCAGTGTTTTCAGGCCTAGCATGTTTTCAGTTTTCAATAAGTTTGTAGTTTTCAGTTTCTCTCTTTGTAGTTTATGTTTTAAATCGCCTGCTGTGGCTGCATGGGAGTGGTGAAGCAGCGGGTTCAGGGGACAGTGCCAGGGAAAGCTGGCTGGCACAGCGGATATCCATCACAGTAAACATGTCTTCCCTATTCCAGTTGCTGTTGTTCCAGAGGAAGAAGAGTGTGTGGTACTGAGATGACAGTTGAAAAGTTGAACACTGAAAATCTCTGAACAAAACATTGACTTGCATTGCAACACTGTGTGCATTTGGGTCCCTCTATCACACCTTCTTCCAGCCAAATAAAAGGACAACTAGGTCCTTATTTCATTTACACTCCACATAGTCTCAATAATATAAAGAAACATGGACAGTAACCAACACTTAAACATATCATTCCAACATTTTCTTAGGAATTTGGTATGTTATGGAAGCAAAACTGCACTAAATTTCAAAAAGAGCAGAAGAAATTATGAAAAAGTTCCACCATGAAAAAATATAAGACAGTAATTTAGAAGGTAATAATCCATCCAAAGGCAAAGCTGACGATCCATCTTCTATAAAGATGATCTATTGATTCAGTTATAAACATAATGTGTTCAATGATCTTTGATGGAAAATTTTTAAACTGACCTGAGAATTTCCAGTTTACAGTTTAGACTTTCCAGTCCAAGAAATAAATGCTTCACTCCTGAATCCTGCAGGTCAGAGTTACTCAGGTCCAACTCTCTCAGGCTAGAGGACTGGGAGCTGATAACCAAGGAAAGAGCTTCAGAGCTTCTCTCTGAGAAGGTGCATTGACTTAGTCTGAAAAAAATAATATGACCATTAAAAGAAATGCCCTTGTTAAATTGTAACAAGGGTGCGGTGAGGAACTATTAGATTTTTTTTTCAGAATTCTTTAATGCCCTACTTTGATAAAACAATATATAGATGGGCTTGACATTTATTGGCTAGATATTTGATTTGTTAATTAAACAAACAAATATAATTTGACCTCAACCTGACCTCAGCGTATTCATTTTACAATTTAGACTTTGCAGTCCAGTAGATAGAAGTTGCAGTCCTGAATCCTGCAGGTGGTTGATACTCAGGTCCAACTCTTTCAGACTTGAAGATTGAGAGCTGAGAACTGAAGACAAAGATTCACAGCATTTCTTGGGGAGGTTACACACACTCAGTCTGGAAATTAAAAAAAACAACATGAAAAATCAATAATTAGCAATGATTAATCCAAAATTTTAAATAATTTTATTGCCTTTTGTTTAACAGGTTGTCTTGAAATTTTATAAATAATGAAAAATAATAAGAAACTACAACAAGCACTTGATCTGACCTGAGAATTTCGAGTTTAGAGTGTCGACTATCCACTGCAGCAGACAGCTTTATTACTCCTGAATCGTTCAGGCTGTTGGTACTCAGGTCCATCTCTCTCAGACTAGATGACTGGGAGCTGAGAACTGACAACAAATCTTCACAGACTCTACCTGAGAGGTTACAGCTGCTCAATCTAAAAGCAAACAAACAAAAATAAATAAACTTAAAAATTGTGTCTGAAAAAAATAAAAACATTATAAAATAACACAATTATACCAACATAAAAACATTATAAAATAACACAATTATACCAACATAAAAACATTATAAAATAACACAATTATACCAACATATCTAAAAGGAAAACAGGGAAGATTTTAATATCTGTGTATATTCAGGCCAAAATAAGTCCTATTTGTCCCGTCTTGGACCATTTCTCTCATTTAATTCTCTATTTGAAGCAAGCAACTTGAGCTTCTTTCCTTTTAATGTCACTAGCCTTGCCAGACTAGACTGGCCAGTTTCAGGACATCTGCTGAAGGGCAGCACTCGGTCCTTAAGAACAGCACCCCTTTAGCTTCTACTTCTGAAAACAAACTTTGATCACGATTGAAAATAAAGTCGTCTCATGCTGATGCATAAATTACAGAACCCGGTTCTGGAATATGATAGTGGAAATCCACACCATCAAAAATTACAGCAAGATACATCTTTGTTTTCACATTATTACACTCATTACTAGGGCTGGGCAATATCATACCGTTCACGGTAATACCGGTATAACGATGGGCAACGATAAGAAAATGAAATATCGCGATAGAATATGGGTAAAACACGCATGCGCAGTGCCTTTGTTTTCATACGCA